AATACTCGGAGGATTTAATCCAACAAATTGGATATCTGGAGCTGAAGAATCTGTTCCAAACTCTATGATGGATATATATTATCCTCATCATTTAATTGCACCTACTCAAACTCAAACTAGTTCAGTTCGTGCGTTTCCCATTCCTTTCCTTGTTCCTCCTGTTTCTGGAAGTGATAAAGAAAGTTTTATTTTTTCTTTAGATAGAAACAATCTAGAAAATTCCATATTTAGTAAAGAAAGTGTTTCATTTAGTTCCATGCCAGAAAACGGTCCAACATTTGGAATTTCAGATTTACGTCTACTCTTTAATTCGACCAACAAAGGACAATGCTATAAGAAACATTACGAAAAATTAATTAGAAAGTATGAGGGAACTTTTGAAATTAGTGATTATGAAGTTTATCAAGTTCACTTGCACCCGAAAAATGTAATTGAAAGGTTTGAGAGTAAGAGTAGGATTACGAGTAGAAGGGGTAGGTGGAACGCGCCATCGTAATCGGATTTATAACCGGTTTCAATCGGTTCGAATTTATAACAAGATTGGAAACCGATTAACCGGTTTTATTTTATAAATTTGTCTGTGCCTTTGTGAGACGTTACTGTATCACTATCATAAATAAAAATTTCACATACGTTTGATAAGTTTAATTTGAAAATTATTGGTGACAGAAATTGATCTTTCAAGCTTATTTTTTCCAAGTCAAAATCATATAAATAAATATCAGTATGGAGCATAGAAATTATTAATAATTGGGCAAATTATATTCACATGGTGAGTATAAAATTTAAATCAACAAGAATGCATGTTTAGTACATTAAAATAAAATATAACCGATTAATCGGTTGAAGCTGGTTTTTTTTATAACCGAATTATATTCGGTTTCAATTTTCGGAATGACGATTAAACCGGTTTGTAATAATAAAACTGATTCCAACCTCTAGGTAGGAGAGCTAATTTTTGCTAGAAGGAAAATACTTAAATATAATAATTGTACCTATTAGGTTATAAAATTCACCTTTCTTTCTCTCTGTAATATATTATTGTGTAGGGCTCAGAGTGAACTCTCTTTATATTAGTTAGGTGCATGAAATTTAAAAATTTGTATCACCAAATTTGTTAAAAAAATGTTAAATATAATAAATTTTTAGGGTTTATAACCAATTTCTATACGATAAAGCAAATAGAATTCTTCAAGTGAATTCTACACAGAGGTTTAATAAAATAATGACAAGAAAGTGCTTTCATTCTTTCTTATCTCTAAAAATTTTCTGATGATAGCAACTGCATGATTGAAGAATTTTCGAGTTTAAAAAAAATTCACTAAATTCACTGCCGCGCGAAACGATGTCGTAATAAATAAGATAAAATTGCTTCATGTGCGATACTTTAGATTTGAATTCATTTAATTTCAATATTGATTCATTTATTTCTTTGATTATGTTGTATAGGTTGCATGTATATTTCTTCGACTTTTAAAACAAATTCCGATCTTTGCAATAGAAAGGGAGGAAACTATGAAAAAATCAAATTTTTACTTTGTAAGTAGTAAAATAAGTCCAGATTTAACATTAACTCGAAAAAAAATTTTTTTAGAGTTTCCTCCTTTCCTACTGCAAATCGCCCATATATTAATTTTCACTTGATATAATAGCAATATCGCATCTAAAATAATAAATTCTATTACAATTACATAATGTGATTTATTCCGATGACAGTTTTTTTTCACAATTACTATAACATTATCCTCTTACGGATTTGCAAATTTCCGTGGATAAGTTATGTATCCGCAGATAAATTAAATATAATCAAATTAGAAGTCATAATTTTTTATTCAACCGATTATTTTTGGTTGTGTATTTTGTGTATTTATTGGAGTTCTTTAACACAATTGATATCCATACTTTTCAATACATCATAACTTGATTTTTATGAAAACAGTAATTACATAATTATAATTCTGTTTTTGAACGTTTAAAATTTAAATTTACAAATCACATATTTTATTAGTAACAACTCTTATTTTGACACAAAGTTTACTATTTTTAATCATTCATAGCGGAGTTTAGTAAAATGTACTGCAAATATATTTATTTAATCTTTCATGCTACATTTAGGTTCTTATATCCTAGCAAAAAAAGACTAAATTATTTAAAAATCAATTTAAATTCATGCTGCTTATATTCGCAAGAATTTATCATGTATTCTGGG